AACAAAAAGTTACGCTCAACAAGCAGTGTGACAACGGACAACAACACAACGGGTCGCATAAGTTATGAAAATTCATTTCACATTCCCGGAAACTGATAATTTATGACATTCAGGACGAAATAGGTGCCCAATCAAGCACCAACAAAAAAACCGAACTCCCAACATAAACTGGAGCGCACATGCAGCTCAGAAAATTTGGCCCGGGCTTCGATGCGTGACAATTTTCAAAATTCGGGAGAGCACGCGAAACAGACTTCGACTCGAATTTGTTTGACCGGAACTACCAAACACAAAAACTGGCAGAATTTCGGAACATAAATTAGCTGCAAACATATAACAAAAAAATATTACGACTAAGCGTAAAAGATGCAGCTCTATGCCTGATGCAGCTTGACAGAACTGAGACGTTGGTTGTAGAATCGCTTACCAATGTACGGAAAGAAGAAAGCGCGTGTAGGGGAAAATCGAGAATTATTTTTAGAGAGAGATTCTTCGTCATTTTGGGTGACAAGCAAAAATTAGACATTTTGTCATCATGGTTAGATGGTTCTGTATATCCAGGAAATATAAATGGACTAAGAGGAGGTACGCTGAGCTCGTGGCCATTAGGGTGATGTTGATTCAAACCATTCAGGTTTAGTCCGGAAACATGGGGCGCAGTGCCTTCTCGACATTCCTGAAGCTATTACATTACTTTGACCGTTGCCACTCCCACACCATGATGAAATGTCTAGTTGGGATTTTAGTTTGGGACCAAAGACTAGGTCTAGTTTGGGACCAAAGACTTCATGTCTACCGGAAGAAAGGGTGCAAGCAGTATCTCGTTGTTCGATTGCAAAACGTTTCACTAATAACAGTTTTTCTCACTGGAAAGAACTGAAATGGATAATTCAAGTGAGTGCACTCAGCAGATTTAACATGCTGGCCGCTAGAACAGAAGGCAGCGATTAGCTGAAAAGTCGTGGGATTATCTGTAAGACGACTTAAAAAAAATGGCAAAAAAACAAACGTAGGAAAAAAAGCTGTGTAGGCCGTGAATTCACAAGGACACTACGGAACATTATGAAGCGGTCAAGAGAAATTCCGCGATAGCAAAAAATATAAGTTTACACACATTACAACTTCATCTGCGAGAAAATACATGCAAAAAATGACTGGAAATTCCCGCCCCACATAGTGCAGTACAAATTTGCACAGACGGACTCTTGGGTAAATCAGCAATTTTGCGATAATTGGAAGCACTCGAGCGACGGCACTTTGTTAAAAGGATACCAACGATCTCTCGATAAATGCTTTTGATGAAAAAGACAGGAAGAATAAAAAGTCTCAGCCTAAATTAAATCTTTTATTTATAATTCTTTCTTGGCACTACCGCAAAATTTTATCGCGTTTTTACTTTTCCGGCAATAATTCAAACTTTTACCCAAATCTATTAAAGATTATATAGGACACAGTTATGCAGGACAAATTTTTTTACACTCTAGGCGGGGTGCTCCATTTATTCAAAAACAATGTCTTTAAGATAAACAGGTAAAATTTTGGGCTGCTCAGCAAACTGTTAAAATAACGTTTGCTAGATCGAAGAATTTCCCAAGAAAACTTGAAGCTACGGTTCTGTCGAAAACTACTAGAAAGTACTTTTTTGAAACGATTACAAACTTAGAAATAAGTATTGCAGAAGTCTCCCAGCAGGAGTCTTAGACAATGGAGAACTCCAATACGGTTTCATCACTTTAATTCAAACCTTCAGAAAAAGTAACAGCTCTCTTTCCGGCTTTTGGGAATCTCTATAACACCGTACATCCAGACTTAGTAAACAGAAAGGAAAAAAACTTCGTAAAACACGGATGCCTATACCTCGACTTTTGCCCTCAGCATCCTTCAGAACGGTACAATCTTCAATGTGCCCAAATGACGCAAACATTGCACGAACATCGTCTTCCGTCAGTTTCTTATTCAACATACCAACGAATAACTTTCTTTCTACAAAAACAATAAAGCAGTGCTGAACTGACCCTGTGATCAGCGTTTGCAAAAAATCACAGTCAGACTAAGCTGACAAAGCTGACAAGGTGACATGCAATGCTGCTCTCATGTTGAAAGCCAAACGACTCGATTCCGCAGTCCAAATGCTTGCACCGATAACGAATGGGTAGTGATGCAGACAAAGGAAAACAAAAAAACCATGAGCTTACTTCCAAACAAACTTAGAATAAAGTCTAATTAACAATCTTGCCAGCGGAAAGTTCTTATTAGCAACTGCACTGGCTTCAAATAAAAAATAATTAGATCGGCCACCAAAACTGTGAAAAAAAAACTCCCTTAAGCCGGCTGCCGATGCGAAATGCGCTTTTTGCACAATTCCCGCAGAATTTTGTCGCTAACGGGACTGTTTTTTCCAGCAGATGCTCCTAGCCAAAAGAACTAAGACTAGAAAAATAAGACTGTGAAAAGACATTACCTTAAAATTTCAATTCTCTAGCTTTTCATTTTTCGCGTGAGCAACTTATTCGTCAAAAATTTTCACAGGCCCGTACGTGGGGACCGTACACAACTGAGAGCTGGGCCTGAACTCATTAAGTCCTACGTAGACGGGGAAAATTCCCTAAATACTCCAGCTTTCTAGCTTTTCAGGTTCCCAAGTTAGAAACCTATCTGTAAAAAACTTTCACGAGCCCGCATGTGGAACCACTTGGTCAAGAGTGTCCATTTGGGGGTAGGGCCCATACATGCACGCAGATTAAATTCCCAGAGTTTCAGCCTTATAGCTTTTGTAGATCTAGGTATAAAAAATCAGTACAGACAAACAAACAAAACGCACACAGACATAAAGACGTACACGCACACACACGCAGAAATATGCACAGACAACTTCCGATGATATAAGTTTTTGCATTGCTTAGATGCAAAAAACGCATAAAAACTAAAATCAAGGTGTGATTTTGACTTTTTATTCCGAACAAATACTACCAAAGTCGACTTCAAATTCTTACGTTAGTTCGCTCACACTGGCCGACATGTTTGTTTGCGAAAAATTCGAGGAAAGAATAAATATATGAATGTGCTGAATGAATTACCATTTCTGTTTTCCATGTCAGCAGGTTTCATTTGCACGGGATGGTACATCTGCGGCAGCACACGGATATTGTGAAGCGCAGCCTGAGCCGCTATCGCATCAGCCCTTTTATAGTAAGTAACAAAACAACATCCTGCAAAAAAATACATTTTAGTAAAATGGCGCCTGCAACAAGGGAGAGCAGCAGCCCAGTTCTGCTTTGGGTATGTGTCTCAAAATCGTTGGCTTAATGGGGAAGGAATGCGAAAAAACTGAACTACGTAAATCTGCAGGGGCACTGCCACTACGCTGGCTAGACAGGCGTAAAATACGGACGATGAAGCACCAGAAGCGCAATCAAATCAGTTAAGAGAAGTCCTTCGCGGCAAGCTCAGTACGTCAATGCTCTAATGCCGCAGCGAAAATCATCGATACCTCGGCTGGTTTGAGTTACTTTATCGCGAAGCACATTGAGCTGGCAAACGGAGCCAAACTGCTCGAACAACTCTCGGCACTCGGCCTCGCCCCACGAGCGTGGAATCTAAATAAAATGGCAGTAATTCAAGTACAGACGGAAAAATGACAAAACTGTGACCAAAGAGGAAGAAAATGAACGGGCAGCACCTGGCCGACGAACATTTTGATGGCATCTGGGTCCGGTTCTCGGGCCGATGAGGCCTCTGTCTGTTGCGCTGGTTGGCTACTCATTACATCGGCTCTAGAAAAAAAAAGAACGATGCGATATGCAGGCGATGAGAGACAAAATAATCGTTCAGGTTAGACGCGGTAAACAATGGGCATCGCATCTATCGTTTTTCGGAAAAAAAAGTGGAGTGTTCCGGCATGAAAATGTTGAGACAATGAATGAGAGCAGCTAAAGCTACCGCTCCGACAACCTCCGAGTGCCGTCGCCTCTTGTAAAGAGTGAAGCGGAAGTGAGTTAGTTCGGATGATCCCAGCTGCTAAGGTGTCTCAGGTGCAGAATTAGCAACACGGCGTGGCGATGCTCAAACAACTCATATCTTGCCAAGTGCTTCCATCGGAACAACAACTTAGCAGGTACTGTTGTCAGCGGATGAAAAGAGTGTCATGCTCATCAGCAAAATGACCAGCACAAACGCATAGTTCAAGAACAATACGACGAAGTAAGAAGTGAAAGAACTGTTCCAAAGCACCGTCCAAATGTTTCACCGAACTGCGCGTATCGTTCGAAATAAGCACGTGGCACTTTGGCCGGCCGGGCTCTTGCAGTGTGCAGCGCGGGAACGGTCGGGAGCCGGAAGGGTGGGTAGCAGGAAGGGTGGGGAGAAAGGGAGGAGGGGAATATGGAAGAAATTCAAACGGTCAATATAAGAAGCCACTAATACCCTAAATCGCTGCTGATTATGTTCTAGGGAAGGCTGTTGCTCCTGCTGCTGCTGCGGAGGGATCAGTGAGGGCAAGGCCATATGACTTCTCGCTGTGCTCCGCTTCACTTTACAAACACACTCGGACACTGGCTGTCAGCTGCTGCCCGGGCCCTTCCAACCCGTGCTCAGCGACCTTTTCAAAGGCATTCCAAGTGACGATTGTGTTGCCTTAGACGCTTTCACAAAGGCTTTTATGAGGGGCTGGGAGACGGGACAAGGGGCAAAGGCATTCGCCCTCTGCAGAAGGACAATGCAGCCGACTAGCTGAGGCGGGCGTGAAGGCGACGCAGCCTTTTGTGGCATGCATAAAAGGAAAAGCTGAAGCGGACATGCATGGGGAATGGAACTGTGCAGTGCAGCAAAGAACGAGCAGTGCATCCCTCCTGCAACAACGCAGCAGCAGCAGCAGCAATGACGTGAACGGGGCCCTTCTCCTACAAACTGTTCGCCGTGGACTGTTCCCGTCTGTCACAGATAATGTTAATCGACTATTTCAGTTGTTACGCACTGTACGTAAAGATAGGGGACGAGAGAGGGGCCGGGCGAGGGGACTTACTGAAGCTGTCCAGCTCAATGACCGCTCAGAATGACACGCAAACAGCACGCCTCGGGAAGTGAATCCGATTGGCAAGGTATGTTGC